CGCCGGCGACCTCCTCCCCAAGGTCCTCTCAGGCTGCCCCACCGCCAGCCTGAGGTGGGACCCCAGCGCTAGGCCCGCACGGTCGCCTGGTGGTGGAGCGGCGCCTGCTCCAACGCCGCGCGTCCGGATCCAGAGGCGAGGCGTTGCTTTGGCCTGCTGCTAGCATTTACTGCAGCTTCGGGGAAGAGCCGCTGAAAGCGAGGACGGGAATCCCCGAGTGGGTGTCTCCTCGTGCCCCTGGTGCTGAAACGAAAGGGAGGTGCAAAATGACCCTGAGGCGGGATCTTCCAAAGCTCTGGCCAGGGTGATACCGCTTCAGAACGTGGTGTCAGCAGAAGACATTAAAGAGGTCCTCATTCGTGTCAGCATTGACTTCCTCCTCCAAGATGGATGTTGGGCCCAAATATGTCCTCCCAGATCTTTTGATAATCAAGTGTTAGATGGCTTTTTGCTGTCATCCAGGGCAAGTGCTACAAGCAGAAGCTTTTTTTTTTTTTTTTAAACATAGTAATGTGGCCTGAACACCATGTTTGCTACTGCCACGTGATAGTTGCGGGAACGTTTAGTCTGCGGAAAAGCTGGCATCTCCAAAAGCACAGTGGTCGGCGGCTTCAGCGCAGGAGCAGGTTTTGCCTCCGCACCCGCTCGGTCACTAGCTTCACACTTCTCCCTGATTTCACGTGAAATAATCCGCCCGAGGTCCATCCACCCCTGAAGAAGCAGCAGGATCCACCCCCAAACCCTCAGGGCTCCACGAGGCACGGCAGCTCCATCCTGGAAACCCTCCTTCCTCTGCCTCCGCAGCCGGGTCCCGTTCAGGCCATGCTGTCAGGAGACAGGTAGGCCCGTAACAGCACAACTTGAGCTGGCTCTTCTAAATAAGCTTCAGAGAGGCAAGAAAACGTGTATCATTCTTTATTTCAAGGCTGCGTCTATCCCTTGTGAAATAAGATCTCTTCAATGCATGTCTGTGGAAAACACATTACCTCATCCATCGCACAGAAGAAATCTGCATGCAGATGACCCATTCTCCACAAATATGTGGAGATACCAGGAAGCAGGAAGACTTGCATCTTTAAATGACTGTTTCATTTCTTTTTTGTTTAGGGAGGTGGAGCGGGGAAGGGTAGGTTGGCAATTCTTGAAACTTCAGAGATAGACAAAAACAAGCTAAAAGCATATTATTATTTTTAAAATAGCTGCTGGCTCCTTTGGGGTGGCACGTGTTTTTTGGTGGAGAAAGTGCCACTGAACCTTGACTTTTGTGGCAGTGCTACACAGGACGGCAATGTGCAGCAGCCTAATCCTAGGAAATGTATGAAGAAGAGACAGGCAGCACCTCTGAGAGCAGCCCATGAGACAGAAGAAGCCAATACACCTCTGTCTCGACACAGTGGCTTGTTCTTTTAAATGGAGGCCAGCTTGCACTCTTAGGATGACAGCAGCATGTATCAAGGCTCCCTTTTGTTCCCAGGTAGTTGGAAGGTTTTTAAAGCAAGCAGACTTAAACTGTACGAAGAATACCAGATCACACATTTGCTCAGCCGGTTCCAACCCACCACCTCCGCTGAGGATGCCCTCTCTCGTTGGTACCTTTCCTCCTCTTTCTCATTGCCTGATCCTCCACAAAGCAACCAGTGACTTTACTGACAGTCATGCCCTTAGGCCACTGAGCAGAAAAAAATGACACAGACCATCAGATCACAGGGGGTCTATAACAGGAATATGTTAAACGGTGACACAGGTAAGTAGGTTGCACGTTGAGCTATGAACGTTTATTAGAGCTGTACACTTCAGGTTAAACAACTGCTGCAGGAAAATACAGCGCTGAAGAGAGATGGTGCAAAATGTATGATGGACCAAACAAACCCTTTCCCCTTAAGGCCACGCACCCAGCAGGAACTCTGGAATCAATAAATATGTTATTTCTGTAGATCATCTTCTCAGAGTGCCTCTGTAGTTATATGCCCATCTGTTTCGGCATTTTAAACAATCCCCTTTCGACCATGGTATAATAAGGCTTGGAACAGCTTCTATACCCTTCATTCCCAGCCACAGGTGTAAGTACCAGTAAGGAACTGCAGACCAAGGTTTTCAGAAATGAGCAGCAATTTGGGGAGGTTCAACATGAGATGCCTGTGAGCCTCTTCTGTTCAAAAAGTGGATCTCCCTTCAGCATCTCAACTTGATAACTTAGAAACGCAGGCAGCCAAAAGCAGCAGCATTTTTCAAATCATGGCTTCGTGATTACTGCTATGGGCTTCTCCCCCACGCTTCTAGGCGTGGGCTTCAAGGCTGCTGTTGGTCCCCCGGCTATACTAAGCATGCTCAAAATGGAGCTGCCCAACACCCTGTCACAGACATGGCTTTAAGGTCTCAATCTGAAAGCTGCCCAGCAGTAAAGCTGCTACTGATTTCAAATGCAGTTCCCCTCATGGAGTGCTTCTAAGGTCATGCCTATAGCTTGGTTAAATAACTGGTACAGTGGCCTACAAAAAGCTAAGCAGCACTGTGCTGTAAAAACACTAACTTGCTAAGCTTTCGCATGCATGCCGGCTTCCATCACTAAGAGCATAAAGAATTCTCTGGCTAACAATAGTCTGCATTAGAGCTTTTGCCATCACCTATTTCCGAGTAAGAGCTATTACAGAACTGACTTAGGTGCTCTGCAGATACGTCTAATGCTTTCAGAGAGAAAACAATAACTTTTTGGATGCATTCAGAGCTGTATTTTTAAGGCAGAGAAACTGACTTCCTAGGTTTCGGTATTCAATTTCCTCAGTGGCATAGCATTAAGTGGCTTAATTAAGGGTTAAAATTACGAGATGCTGACTTCTAGTATGTAGAGCACTTGATAGAAATTCAATTTTGTGAGTTAGCATTTGTGATGTAAAGAAAAGCAATCAAAGAGGCATTACAGCAAGCCTTGGCAAGGTGGGGGAAAATTCAGATTCAGCTGAGCAGGTGAGCCAATTGACACATGTATTCTCTGGCACATTTTATTTGGCCATTGGACACTTAGCATCAGAAGTCAAGTTAGACTACCAGGTGAAAGAGAGTGTTATCTTCCCAAACAGGCAGCAGACAAGCATGCTGCTGAAGGAACCCACTAGGGAGTAGGCAGAAGAGGGAAATTAAAGCTGACACACAATTAGAGTAAAGTGAGTCTGCAAGTGCTCCTGAAAGGCCATGGAAAGCAAGTGGAAATCAGGCAGAAGCTATTTCTAGGCAGGATTTGGGGGTGGAAAAAACAGATATAGGCTTTTGCTAAGAGCTAAATTCAAACCCTCCCAAGAATCCAAATTTAGTGTTTAACACTTCTCATAGCTGCCTGCTTTGTGCTAGCTGACAGGCACTAAGCTGCAGCCTGATTGCAAAATTGAAAGAAAAAAATCAAGAAAGATTTCTCACAATTAGCTTAGATAAACCTAAGGAGCTTCTACCTGATTCCAACACAAGGAGCACAAGGAAATCTTAATGAAGTTAAAGACAGGTGGAGGAGCTCAGCACCTCTGGAAAATCAGCCCACTTATCTTTTGTAGACAACACGGCCTTATCTTGTTAACATTGACACTTGTCTTGTATGCAGCTGACAGCATCAACTAGTGGATGTTAAACTCATTCACTGTGATGAGGCAGTGAAAGGGAAAATTAACTTGAGGAAAGGGGGAGCAGAAATGGTGCTATCTCAGCCAGTGAGAAACAGCTAGATACATTCTGATATGTGCTGCTGAGGACTTTCCACTGGCTGCCTCCTCCAGCTCTGCAAAACCCTGCAAGCAAATAAGAGAAGGTGAACACAGGATCTGGGTACCACACAAAACACTGCATTACAGAGGTCAGTGAAGCAAATGACCATGCAGGAACGGGATGAAAAAGGCTAGCTAGTCACATTGCATTACGTGACAAACACAGCAGCCTTGTACGGAATGGGGCAGGTGCCCCTTTCCTTCTCTTTCTCTGTTCTATCATGAGGCAGAGAGAGGAAAGCAGGCACTTTTTTTTTACAATCTCATTGCAACGGCAGGGTTTCTGATTGCTGCTGTGGTGACACCTATTCCCCCCAGATTATCAAACTAAACAAAATCCATTCCAATCGACTTCCTTGTTGATCTGTCAACAGCGTGTACAACTCTTCAGTTTTCTCAGTGGTCTTCACCTCAAAGGATTTTTACATAAAGCAGTAACTTCACCTGCCACTGACGTGCTCCCTCCTCACTAGAGGAAAGTTATGGCTGCCAACAGCACCCAGCCACATTGCAGCAGGTTTGCCCAGGAAGCGAGAGGGAACTCGATTCCTGGGAGGACTCAAAGAGGACTCTCAGCCTCTAAGGGATACTTTTCTGCTCGTCTCCCCAGAGTGAAGCTAACACAGCTTCCTTATCGTATTATGACCAGAGATTCTTTCTCTTTAATGGAAACCCCTGGGGCCAGCTGTAGCGTGTTTCTAACTATCTCTGTGACGAGGCTCATTGTTTCCCACTAAAAACCCACAGGAAAATCCCTGCACAGGTCACCTGGTGAGTATCAGGGTTGAATGCTCGTCACTCAGTAAGCTCTTCATGAGCTCTTATCCAGCCATTTATGCCGATGCTGTAAAGGGGCACTCACCTAGAAGAGCTTCTCATAGCACTTGTCACAGTGGACAATGTCCCGGTGGATGAATATTTTATCCAGAAGATCTCCCATTGCTTTGTGGCAAATTCCACACTGCCAAAGGAAAAATAAGATGGTTGGACAGTAACCAAAGCACCACGCAATAATGTCAGCATGAAGCGGGCAGAGAAATGAATAGCCTCTGTTATCATTGTAAAGGTGGTGAAGATGCCAAATCAGTGGCCTTTAAGTCTAAACGCTTCTACGATGGAGACAAATGCTACCAGAGGCTTCCTCTACCCACACCCACACCCAACATTTCCACAGGCTGTACCTGTAAACTTTGCAAAGTTTGAGAGATTCAGCAAGTCCTGTATTGGGGAACAGGGGCCACAAAGCAGCATGTCTACCACAAGGACAGGGACAGGAGGAAAGAGATTGTCCTCCAGCGAGGAAGCAGCATGCCAGTGGCAGGTGAAGTTACTGCTTTATGTAAAGATCCTTTGAAATGAAAAACACTGAGAAAACTGAAGAGCTGCATACTCTGATAGAATAGCAATTCTATCAGAAAGAATCCTCCTTGCTCTAATATGCATTTATTTGAGGAGCTGAAAAACTTTTGGGGACAAAACCAAAACCTGTGACTACATGATTTTTTGTCCCATTGTGGATGAAAGTATTTGACATGCACTACATACACAACATACACTATTCTGAAAGTGTGTGGACGGAATTTGCACCAAGACCCCTACTCCCACCACCTCTTTTCACAGCAACATGTATAAGGTGGTCAGTAGTAAAGTTTTTTACCCTGAAACAGTATTCATGGCAGCAGATGTTAAGATGCTCTATGATGATCTTAGGGCAGTCTTGGATCTCACGGCCACAGTAACTGCAAACAGCTTCACAGGACCTGTGAAGGAGCAGAACAGTGAATTCCTGCACCACGGGGCCTCCGTACTACAAATAGGTTCCAGTCCCATCACGGATACCAGCGATCTCTTGTCTAGCACTAGCACTGCTCTGTTCCAGCTACCTGCTTCTACATGGGTTTGGCTGTGCAAAGTGACAGCACAGAAGACTCTGGGGTACCTCAGGTGTGCTGTGGCTTAAAGGTAAAAACCACAGCTGCGGAGCATGCAGAGCATTAATTCAATGTCACTGTATTTTCGAAAGACCATTTAAACTTCCTGCCATGATTTCACCAAACACATATCAGTATTATAAAAAAGTGAAACCTTAAAGTTTTTTCTGAGTAATTTTGCTGAAATCCCCATGCAGCCTTGAACTGTCCTACCTCTGCAGGGGAGTGCTGGACAGGTAGCTGTGGTGGCTGGAGGTTGCTCTCTCCGAGTCAGTCAAATCTACAAGGCTGCTACTGGAAACGGAAAGAAATCGCAGCACTTGACAATGATATACAGGAAGAGC